AAGGCAGACTCCTAGCAGCATCAATTCAGATACTTCTCATTTTATAGATTTCTTGTAAAGAGTACCTGGGCATCACAGAATGACTAGAAGGCCATTTCGTTAATCTCAAGGCTCTCAGAACTCCATGTGAACACAAAGGATTGGATTGACGCATATGCCAACCAAGGAATGCCAAAGATTGGTGGCAAACTACCAGAAGCTAGGAAGAGGGAAGGAAGACTTCCTCTAGGTTCCAGTGGTGACCTGGCTGGTACCTTGATTTTGGACTTTTATCTTCCAGAAGTGTGACCCAATAAATGTCTGTTTTTCAAAGCCACCCAGTTTGTGGTACTTTGTTACAGCGGCCCTAGTAGACTAAGACATATGGCAACTGCCAATATCACTGGTGTCTCTCCAGACTGGTAAAAGCTGCCAGCTGTGTGGACCTCAAGATAAAAGTAGAGTCATTTACTCAAAGGAGTCTAAAATCTTTCACAAGCACACAGTTGCCTCTCAGTATTTTATAGCTTTTCTTTTTTAAAAAATACATTTTATTTACTTGAAATCTAAAGTTACAGGGAGAGGTAGAGACAGAGAGAGAGAGAGGTCTTCCATCCGCTGATTCACTCCCCAGATGGCCAAAATGGCCAGAGCTGAGCCGATCCAAGGCCAGGAGCCAGGAGCTTCTTCCAGGTCTCCCACATGGTGCAGGGGCCCAAGGACTTGGGCCATCCCCTGCTGCTTTCCCAGGCACATTAGCAGGGAGCTGGATCAGAAGTGGAGCAGCTGGGACTCAAACTGGCACCCATATTGGATGCTGGTGCTGCAAGCCGGGGGCTTTAACCCACTGCGCCACAGTGCCGGCCCCTCTATAGCTTTTCTTCCCAGGCTCTAGCTCTTAAATCCTTCACCATCTCTTTATATGTACTTGCCACTGTCTTAGTTCAGTTATTTCTTTTCTGGAAAACTGCAAAACTGTTCCAACCTATACAACTGTGTAACAAGTGCCTACAGAATTCTTGTGAATGCAGCTCTTAGATTGCCTTTCCCTTCATGCACTTTCTACAGCCTGATGTTGCCTACAGTATTCTAGGGGAACTCTTTAGCTTGGCACTGGGATCTTCATATCTGGACCAAACGGCTGCCTTCAGTCTTGTCTCCTGCCATCTCAACTCTGAGTCCCACTCATCCCCATGTTTCATGTATTCCAGCCACACTAAAGTATCGTTTCCTAAACAAGTCATGAGCTTAGATTTTCTAAAATCCTGCGCCCAACCCCCTCCCTCGAGACTTCCTACCTACCTTTTTGTTCCCCATAAGATGATAAGTAATTTGAGGGCAGGTATTCTTTCTCACTGTTTTTATTTTTCTCTGTCACCGAGCACTTTCCTTAGCATATAGTATAAGCATGATAAGTATGCATTGAAGAAAGGACTCTTATGCCTCAAAACCCACTTCAGGATTGTTTTTTCCTGAATCAGGTGTCGCCTCCCAGATTCTACTGGACTCACACTATTTCCTTATATTAGTTCTTCCATCTGTGAATTTCCCCAGATCCATGCATGGAGATTTACATGAAAGTACTAGATAAATGTTTGTGGAATAGATGGAAGAATAAACATTGGACAAAGTATAACTATCACAAATGTGTGTATTATATCTTTGGTGTGAAAATCTTCAACTCATCTGCAAAAAAGGGAAGAATTTAATTTTGCTTGATTGACCTTTTTCTTTTAATCAGATCGTTAATCACTCTGCTGGCCAGAGTGCCTGCAGAGTTGTGGTTTCCTGTAGAGTCCTGTTCTTATTTAAGGTCAGTCACAGCTGGCTCCTCAACCGCAGGTGGGATAGGACTGGGAAGCCACACAGGACAGGGCGTCCCCTTCAGTTTTAAGAGGGGAGAGAATGAAACAGTACAAGGTAAGGGTAAGGACACAGAGCCCAGGGGCCAGCAGTTGAGAAGTCACTAGATATGGGCTCCTCACTCTGTGGCTCTCCCGCTTTGATATGCCTCTGCTTTCGCTTTCTCTACAGCTCAGTTTGGCCAAACAAGGCCCTGGGTGGATGGGGAGGAAGTGACACCTTGTGGGAACCGATGCAGACACTTATTATTAAATGGGTGCTAGTGTAAAGCATTAGCTGCCAGGCTCAGTCTTATACACAAGTCAGGAGACTCATGTTTTGAATTAAAATGATAATGGTCATGTATTTGTTATAAGTTCTCTCTCTCTAAGTGAATTCAACTAACTCTGCAATATGGGAATTGAGATTGCAAATTGTTAGGTGATGTGTGCAAAATCACACAGCTGGTGAGTAGCAAAGGCAAGAATTTAACTCATATCTGTTTGACCATGTTTAAACCACTAAACGTGGTGCTTTCCCTACCCATTACATTCTATTAGATTGATAAATTGATTAGTTAACTAAACAATATTTATTTAACTCATACAATATGCCAGATATGGTTGATGATCTAAGGATAATATGGCAAATGAGACAGATGGTCTCTGCCCTCATGGAGTTTATGTTTTATAAAGAAAAGATGGACATAAAAATATAAGCAAATAAATTGCTAATGATAAGTGCTATGATGAGAATAAAATATGGAAAGAAAATATGGATAGCTTTTGAGAAGGTCCACAATAATCTCTGCCTTATGATATTCATGCCCTTTTATAATCACTTGAATGAGAACTGGATCTAGCGACTCATATTCTTTAACCAGAATATGACAAAGATGATTGAATACCATCTTTGAGAACAGGTTACAAAGTTACTCAGTAAAGTATTTTGAAACACTTCATACATATATATTTCAGGGAGATAACTCATATTACATTAAATAACATTGCTATATTATTTTTAAAAGATTTATTTATTTGAAAGGCAGAGCTACAGAGAGGCAGAGGTAAAGAGAGAGAGAGAAAGTCTTCCATGAAGTCTTCCATTTGCTGGTTTACTCCCTAAATGGCAGTAACTGCTGGAGCTAGGCTGATCTGAAGCCAGGAGGCAGGAGCCAGGAGTCTCTTCCAGGTCTCCCATGCCGGTGCAGGGGTCCAGGGCCTTGGGCCATCTTCCACTGCTTTCCCAGACCATAGCACAGAACTGGAGTGGAAATAGAGCATCCAGGACTTGAACCGGAGCCCATATGTGATGTTGGCACTGCAGGCGGAAGCTTAGCCCACTATGCTACGGCGCTGGCCTCCTGCTATATTAATTTACATTAAGAAATAGTTTGCCTTACAGGGGCTTTAACCTGTAGAAAGAACTTCTTTGACTACTGACACATGTGTTTAACTTCCTGAAGCCAGGATATCCACAGATTTTATATCTTCTGCTCAATTTTGCTTAATGTCCCTGCCCAGGCCATTCTAAACTCTTCTGGCAGACATTGACTCCATTTCGTTGTTCTCTAATAACCCAGATTTCTGAGATCCGAAGTATTTAAAAGTCTGACCTTGACATTCATGGGTACTAAAAGACGACATTAAGGCTTCCAGGGAATATTTTTGATATACATTTTCTCAAGTTGTAAAGAAATATAAAAGGAGAAATTCCTTCAATTAGGCCAGGCCTTGAACAAGAGTTTAAAAATTAAACATTTATGAATAATAAATATCAAAAAGGTCTAACCTCACTAGAAATAAAAAAATGCAACGAAAATGATGAGATGATTTTTCACCTTTGAAACTGGAAAATGTGATTCTTCATGTGTATCTGATTCGGTGACATGCACTCTTAGCCATCTCACGTGGGGTGAACCACTGGAACAGCCGCTCAAGTGCAGCAGTAGTCCCACGTACAGAGATATTGAACCACATTCATCCTTTATGTCCCTGTGACAGCACAGCCCCTCTACTATAGGCAGCACATCATAGAATTCATAAGTATTTACGAAATGAATTGACTAAGGCCAATATGTTCCTAACAAAGTTTCAGAAGGTAATACCAGTTATAAAAATGCATACTGATGTTTACTGAAGCATTTATTTTAATATGGAAAAGGAAAACAACACAAATTCTTAAGACAGAGCTTTGGTTAAATAAGAGAGTGTTCATTTTTCTGCCCTTAAAATGGGACTTTCAAAAGATTTTTAATAAGAAAACAGGGACAAAGATCAAGATACTAAATGGGGTACACATGGTCCCCAGTGTGTATGTTAAGAGAATAAATGCATAGCTATGTACAAAGAAAATAATTTAAAAGGAAATACTCCAGAATGTAAATAGTAGTTTTCTCATAGTGATCTTTGCTGTCTTTATAAAATGTTGTATTTTTAAAATTTCCTATTGTGATCTTGATTTATAATTATTGTTAGAAAAATAGCATACTGTTATATAATATAGTAGCACTATAAACATTTTAAAAATAATTTTTCAAATGTAAGACCACATAATTTAGATCATGAAAACTATTAATATATATAAAACAAAAAGTTTACAGTAAGAAAAAACACTTTTGATTTTCCCTAAATACTAGAATCATGCTATTAAATCAATTCGTGTAAGCACAGAAGGAGACCATGTTCAATGGTGGTGAGGGGAGAATTCTTGAGAATTCAGCTTTGTTAATTTATACCTGGGCTCTGATCTTAGCTGGGTCACCTCTGACCAATTATTTAAACTTTTGGTGTCACAGATTCTTAATATGCAAAATGGGACTATTAACAGCATCCATCTCATAGAATGATTGCATGTAATAAATAGCAGATGTGAAATATTTATAGCCACACTTGACACATGGTGAGTACTACCTTTGTTTGCTCTAGCTGTACTATTATTTCCAACAAAGTATAGCTCCATTTAGTCACAGACTTGAAATTCAAACCCTCTCCGTTCTCTCCTTGAACCGAGAGGAGAGGCTTGACAGTAAGACTTCTGAATTATTTGGATGTCTGTGTGTGCATGATTTATAAAAGAGCTGGTAAAGATGATGAAAGGATTTAGATGAACCAACCCTTAGCTGACATAAAGCAAGCACTTTGAAATGGATTTTATTATGGGCACTTGGGTTCTCTTACCTTAAAATTGTTCAAAATAATATAAAGCTCTCAGTTCACAGATGGGTTCTCTCAACCTAAGTAGAGGACAGAGAAAGCACAGCAGTTTTGTGCCCATGAGATAAAAGCAAGGTTCTTCACGACTCAGTTCTTCTCTCTTCTGAAGTCTCTGAGTCATTTTTCTAAAACCTCCCACCCCCCCACCCCAAGGACTGTTCCTACTTCTGTCTAGTATTATGATAATTGTGTGTGTGACAATATAGATTTTTTTAAAAAGATTCATTTATTTGAAAGTCAGAATTACACAGAGAGAGGAAGAGACAGAGAGAGAGAGAGAGAGAGAGAGAAATCAATCTTCCATTCACTGGTTCACCAAGTGGTCTCAAACTGCCAGGGCTGGGCCAGGCCCAAGCCAGGAGCCAGGAGCTTCTTCTGGATCCCACATGGGTGCAGGGGCTCAAGCACTTGGGCCACCTTCCACTGTTTTCCAAGGCACATTAGCAGGCAGTTGGATTGCAAGTGGAGTAGTCAGGTCTCAAACTGTCACCCACAAGGATGCCAGTGTTGCAGGCAGTGGCTTTACCTGGTACACCACAGCATTAGCCCCTGTCAATATAGATCTTACATTTCATATTTCATTCTTTCTTATTTCACTCAACTTCATCTAGCATAAGGGAACCTGAGTAGCAGTACTTCAAGATTCCTGAATGAATTGGATAATAAATGATGTAGATATTTAGAACTTAAAGGTGACATCTCAAAGCTGAAATCCTCAGGGTATGGTGAAACTGTAATTTGCAAATAGATCTTGGATTTAAATTCCTTAATAAGCTGTGTGTTATTAGGAAACTTTCTAACATTTTTGAGAATAACTGTCTTTATCTGTAACAGTGAGGATAGTAACACCTATCTAATAGAACTGATAAGCAAGTAGAAAGATGATTAACTTATAAATGGTTGTCATTCAACAGGGTTACTGGAAAACTTTGCTCAAGGCCACATAGCTTAGTTGCTGCTAAAGCTGCTGCCCAACACTTTCTTTGTTTTTCTTTGATCACCTTTGAAATTTTGCCTGAATACTGTGGCTGTGTTAAGAGGATCTCTTCCAGGAGAGGAAGTTAACATTTGTTGATAGTCTGCTGTATGTACAAGAGGCTTTACCCATATACTGGTGGTGGCAAATGGAAATGACTGCAGAACAAATGAACAGATGAACTGACATTACCTTCTCCTACCTCAAGTGCTCTCTTTAAAATTTTATTTATTTGGGGCCGGCGCCGTGGCTCACTTGGTTAATCCTCCACCTGCGGCACAGGCATCCCATATGGGCACCCGGTTCTAGTCCCGGTTGCCCCTCTTCCAGTGCAGCTTTCTGCTGTGGCCCGGGAGGGTGGGGGAGGATGGCCCAAGTGCTTGGGTCCCTGCGCCCACATGGGAGGCGGGGTGGGGTGGGGTGGGCGCCTGGCTCCTGGCTTCGGATCGGCGCAGCGCTGGCAGTAGCAGCCATTTGGGGAGTGAACCAACGAAGGAAGACCTTTCTCTCTGTCTCTCTCGCTGTAACTCTACCTGTCAAATAAAAAAAAAAAGACTTATAAAAAATTATTTATTTATTTATTTATTTATTTGAAAGACAGAAACTGAGAGATCTCCCGCCTGCTGGTTCACTCCCATAACTTCAGGCAATAGCCAAGGGCTGGGCCAGGCCAAAATCAGGAGCCGAGAACTCTATCTGGGTGTTATGCCTCAAGTGCTCTTGAGTGTCTTCTTGGGTTCTTGCTCACTTTACTTCCCTTCATTCACACGTCAATAGCCAAGCTGTCAGGACACAGCAGATCAGATCATTGGAATGAAAACCTCTGGGAAATTAGAGGAATAATCCCCTATTTAGGAGAGTTGGAATTTCTGGTTCTTTGAAAGTTGCTCTGTTATGACATTCTCACTGCTTAAGTGCTAAATGGAGTTATTCATAGCCTTCCTGTGAGTCCTGCAGCAGACATTTCAAGCAGCACAATAACCTGGCCCATGTGAGATACTGTGCCACAGCCAAATTCCTGACAAGTAAAGTAACTCAAGACTTGCCGCTGGCCACTCGATAACTGTTTACAAGCAAAGAAAACCCTTGTCCCCAGAAAGCAAGAACTTTTAAATCAGGATACTAAGAATGCATCCTATACTTAATCTAACTTTTCAGATGTATGTGTTGCAGTAAAATGCAGTTTAACCAAGTAGATTGTCTTTTTTGGAGTAGAGAAACACCTGTGAGGACCTCCCATGGACTAACATGATTTTGAGTCTTCACAGCAATCAAGTCAAATAACATTATCCTCACTCTCCACGAGAAGCAGAATCAAAGCAATTCACTTACTTGGCTCATACCACATACTGATCCCGGATAGTGGAGGCAGAAATCGGGGATCAACTCTTTTCTTCCCTTTTCGTTTCTTTCTTTCCCTCTTTTAAAAATAAGTCATTTACTCACTGATTTTAATGAACAAACATTCACTGAATGAGGAATGTGTTTCAGACAGTGTGGAGATACCAAGTTCAAAAACAGTTTTTCCCTTGGGAGCTCTCTTTGGAGTTTCTTATTTAAAAGACTTTGCAACTCTACCACTAAGGTTTTATTTGGGTTTGGCTGTCCCAGAAATGATCTTGGATAAAATCACATAAAATCTCATTAGGGTCATCTTAAATTGAAGTTGTAATTGGCAAATTAGCAGGCAGTTTTCACATTCATCATTGCTTCAGTGTGTGGAATATGAAACTTTGTGAGAAGTTGGACTTATTAGGTATGTAGGGGATAACAATCCTGCCAAGAGGTTGGGCTGTCCCTGCATGTGATATGGTGAACCTCAGTTAAACAATGCTCTCTTAACATATGTTCTCTGGACAAAGAAACTGTTGGCAACATGTATTTTATAAATGCAGAAATTAAACTTATCAACATTTATGGAGAGCATGTCTTCAGTTAGTAATGTATATCAAAAGGAATGTGCAAAGTTTTGGCAACGAAGATGGGTTTCAGGGAAACTATGCCAAGGGAGCGGACCAGCAAGTGCACAGTGTATATATCCAGGGGTTATTCTGTTGGCATGGAGACTCTTGTCTCAAAGTCCACAGTGGTAAAACACAGTAGTGGATAGGCTGTATGTCTTTGGAGTCAGGGTCCAAACCCCAACCCTTTCATTTACTTATTTTCATGTGCTTCAGTAGGTTATTCAGCCTTCATGAGCCATTGTTTTCTCAAACATAATACTAATTCCTACTTGTTAGCATTGTTGTGAAAGTCAAACAAAAATGATTTCTATTAAAGTATGAGCATAGCTCCCAGCAAATAATACACAGTAAATGGGAGGAATTTTAATTAAATATTAATTAAAGGGCAAAATCAGTGTAGAAATAACAAAGAAGTTAAATACTTTCAATACTTTCTTGTCTGTGGTAGAATCAGGGTTTTTTTTTTAACATCCTGAATCTATGATTTATAAGCAATACTAGGATTTATTCACACAGAAAGTGAGCTTGTCAAGGACAGGGATTTTGTTGAATCATCCATGTATCCCTTGCACCTAGAACAGTGCCTGGTCTGTAGTGGGTAGTTAATAAGTGTTTGTTGAATGAATGAATGTACTGGATCAGTCACTGAACCTTAAGTATCTGCTGTAGGGTTCTGTAAGTGTTGTGGGAGACAAAAGTGAATTACACAGGTTTCTCTTTCTAGTAATATTGTACTGAGATAGGAAAAAGAAATTTATAGATAGAAAATGATACTCCAAGTAATAATTTGAATAAGGTAAGAACTCTAAGCTGAGGCTTAGAGGAAGAGGAAGAGGGATATGTAAAGGCAAGAGAAAAGCTGCAAAGTGGAGTTATATGCGAGTTGAGCTTAAATAGCTAGGGAAAATATTGACAACTAGAGATAATGGGGAGGGGACTGGAGAGGGAGGAAGGCCAGTAGGTAATGGGAACAGAATTTTTGGAAGTGGACATAATAAGCAAAGGTCTAGAAGTAGGCATGTTTCAGAACAAGAAAAAGGGGCTGCAGCTGTGGCACAGTAGATAAAGCTACTGCCTGTGATGCTGGCATTCCATGTGGCACAGGCTCCTTTCCTGGATGCTCCACTTATGATCCAGCTCCCTGCTAACTGCTTGGCAAAAGCAGCAGAAGATGGCCCAAGTGTTTAGGCCTTTGCCACCCCTGTGGGAAACCCAGATGAAGCTCCTGGCTCCTGGCTTTGGCCTGGCCCAGCCCTGGCCATTGAAGCCAACTGGGGAGTAAACCAGAGGATGAATGACCTCTCTCTCAGTCTCTCCCTCTCTATGTCTGTAACTCTTTAAAATAAATAAATAAGTCTTTTTTTGAAATAATAAGTACGATTTTGCTAACAAATGGAAGACTTGAAAAGACATTAAGGAGAAGGATCGTATTTCTGGAACACTTTCTACAGAGCCCACAACTCCATCCAAGGTTCATTAAATCTGCTGTGAGTTATTGCAATGGAGGGTTATTGAAATGAGTGTCCGGAAGGCCCAGTGAGAAGACTGTTTAGCCACAAGAAAGCAGAGAACTCGGGTGTGGGGATAGCTACAGACAAATGAGGAAACATGGAATTGATTATCATGCTGTTTCTAAACTCACCCACGAGCAGTGTCTGGGAGAACTTCACCAAATTCTAGGAAATTAGGACTTTGGAATCCTGAGTTTATTAACTTGGGACTAGTCTGTCTCTGCATTTTGATTCTAAATTTAAAAACATTTAGTATTTCCATCACATGAATCCATTTGTTGGGAAGAGCATTCTGTTTTGAAGAACATCTGCATTGCACAAACTGTGTTTAGCAGGTGGCATTCAGCCCTATCCAACCCACCTAACCTTGGTGGCTCAAGCTGACGGAGCCAAATATTGTCTAAATTCTGCACCACTAAAGAATATCCATTGAGCTGCAGTGGACAGACTTTGGATTTTCTTCAAGTTTCTAAAATTTCTATATGACAAGATCAATCCCTGGTTAATTCATTCCTGCCCAGGTTAGTAAGAGACAATATTAATGGTCAACTTTTGTTGAGCACATACTA